GCCTACACCCCCCAAAATATTGTTACATGTGCGGGTCTTCTCAGTTGTGTAGCAACAACAACAAAACAAGGAAGGGATAGTGTGAGGAGGAATACAGTTTGGAAGGGGTGGTGCATTGTAGTGTGGATGGTTGAGTTAGTTATTACTCTTATTCTTTCTTATTCTTTCAAGGTATCACGCCACAACGAGTCACTCCTGCACAAATTGTTTAGTAAATTCCTGGAGACATAAGAAGCAACAACTGACTGTAGAAAAACTAACAACAAAATGTGTCTATCAGAAGAGGAATTTAAGTAGGAATTTATAGAGGAATTATATGACTTGCAAAAATATCCAATTTTAAGCAGGATTATTGTTTCAGCATTTAAGAGATTTTGTTGAAGCAGCTAGTGGATGAACATAAATGTCTTCTACTGAACAGATTCTGGACTGATCAAATAGCCATCCTACGTTTAACAAAAGAGCAAACTAATAAATTAAACCTACATGTGATACTGAATTTGTGTTCTACAAAGAAACCTTCGACAGCATTGATAGTGAATTCCTTTAGGATTTGACTACGGACTATGGGATACTACACAAAATAAATTAACGTAGTAAATTAAACAAATATAGACATGATATACATAATTCAGTACGGTGGACAACTACTTGGCATATTTAAAATAAAAGCAAATGAACAGCTGGAATATCACCTCTAAATGTTTTACTGATTATAGACTAAATGATGAAGACGGCCAAAAGAAAGACAATGCAATGAACACCAGTAGATGAGTTTGATCATCTAGACTTTAAAGATCAATTCATATATTGTTGGGTTTGAAGATTCTGCGTAGGTCCTATTCTTACAGACCGGCATCGCCAGACCCGACTGCAGTGAGCAAACTCCCATCGTCAGTGGATCGTTAAGAAAGACTGGAGAAGGGGGTTTGGTTTATTGACGAATCATTTTTAGTGCTCCAGGCTCACGATAGTCCATGAGCGCTACATACAGAACTGAGTGGGTGAGGCTCCTCCACATGGTGGCGTAGGTGTACTGTTGTAGGCAGTGACCGCCTACATGTGAAAAAGTGACTAGGTGCAAAGTGAAGGACGCCTTAATATTCAACCATACGTCGCTGAGATTTTCGTCTACACGGTCATCCACTTCTGCCTGCACGGGGGTCGATGATTCGTAAGGAAAACGCTAGAAATCTTTTAGTACAACTCACAAACCAGCTCTTCGCTGACAACATCCATACCATTCTGTGGCCAGACATGTCATCAGGCACGAACTTCCTAGAATACTTTTGTGATAAACTGAACAGATGAGTACATCAGCCAGACGTGGCTTAAAACAATCTCCTTAGGTTGTTTCTTGCTCTCCGCGAAGATTGAAACGCCATCGTACAGCAACAGATCCAACGGCTAATTAGACTAATGCCAAAGACATGCCGTTCTGTAATAGAGACCAGATGAGGCCACACACCTCCCGTTTATTAACCCTCGCATAATGCCCCAGGTCAAAATGGACGCTAGGCACGGCCACTGTTTTGAGTCGAGGCAGAAATTTTCGCTTCTGCCAGACGGTGGCCGTTGCATTTTTGCTCCATTTGCAGACTGGAAGGATATAGTTTCGTTGCCGAGCTTCTGAGTTGAGTGCATGGCGTGACACTGTGAGCTGTAAATTTCATTTGAAATGTTTTTCGACTGTGACCAACGTGGTGATGTGATATGTAGATTCAGGAAATGGCGCGATGCAGGATGTCGCAATTTTGGTGGGGCCCGACCTCTCACAAGGGACTGTGATAAACATTCTGTTTGTTTTTCGCTGGCACAGAAGCGGAGCAAAGATGGGGTGACCCGTTTGCTATGAAGCTGAAACTAAGATGACTAGATGACCAGATGACATGACCGGTAGGACTCACAACAAGATATGACTGATAGCAAATAGGGAAAACAAGTGACCCGATACTGACAGGACTAGATTACTTAACCACCAATGCCACACATCAGTGGGCTGATAGCAAACGTTGGTGACGTTATAGGTATAATTCCGGCTAAAGGCCATGCTAGAATCCAGCTAATCGGCAACGACGAGAAATGACTGAATGGCCTCCCGCTCCCTTTTCCCTCACCCTTCCCTTCCTCTTTCGGATGCACTATGAGTTTAATCCCCACCCTATTCCCACAGAGAGCACTTGAGTTCGTTACCCAACATGCCACAGCAATTCTCATCGCTGAACATTTACATCTCAAAGCGTGAGCTGGGTGCTCTGGGTATATGATATTTACATACACCGGAGTCTAGCTGCCAACCCAACTGACACAACCGGATCACACACTAGCAAATGACGAACATACCCACTTTGAGGCTCAGCATAACATTTCACACACATATTCACGACATGACTAACCCGTTCTTATTGCAGGAAGACAACTTAAGACCACTATGGCCACGGAATATTTTCACATTTCTAAACTATCCAACATCAAAAACTGTTTTCAGTACTTTTTGGCAAAGTAAAATTCTCACAATTTTAAAACTATAAATGGTGGTTTAAAGGAAGTTATGTGGAAACGCTCGCTTTCCGACAAGATACGCCTGGCCAAATCAGAGAGAGATAACACCAACAGGAAACACCAAATAAGAATAGGAAAGACATGCACAGCTAACAACAGGGTGGAGGACGAGCGGTCTAACTTGGAAGGAAGCATCAAGCCCAGAAATGGGGCAATACTAAAATTTAGTCACGAAAGTGACGCAGACAACACAGACCACAAATATAGGCGGAGGCTGTTAGCAGCCTCGGCTAGCTAGCTGCAGTCTAAAAGTGGTCGACCTTTTAATTTTTTTCTCGAAAGGACTTTGATTTGGAGCCACACACCTCACTGAAAAGGGGATCCAATTCAAATTGAATGATTGTGCAAACCCAATGTAACATAATTACATTATCAAGTAGTAATGTTTTTTCATGCTAAGACTAAAACATTAATTTCGTCGAACTAAATTTTGGTACAAGTTTGTAGTTAGCTGCTCACTACAACTGCAAAGGTGTTGGCGTTTGCTGCTGTAGACAATAGGTAAACATTCATTAAATGGTTAAGTAAAAGGACCCTTTTCAACGCCGCCAAGCTAGCTGGTCATATAGCGCTACAACTAAATGATATAGATCAATCTGCACTTGGGTGTTATGTGGTTAATATCAAGCCGGATACATTTGCTTCCCAAAACTTTTTCTGGTACTTATTTAAGGCTGGTTTCGACCTGACAAATAAGGTTTTTTTTTTTAAATTTAGAAAACGTTTGGTTCCGTTTGGATTTGACTCACGATCTTTGAATCCGCAGGCTGGGCTCTAGCTGTTACATCACTGCGGCTCCCTCAACTGCTGCCTGTGCTAAATGGTAGATGTTAAAGGGTGTGAAAGAATCACTCAAGGATGACATAACAAAATATAACTTGAAATTATTTGCGCTGAATTCACAAAAAATCGCGCTCGCGTGCGGAAAAAGAGAGTAAGAGAATGGAGACGATAATGGCTGTACCATTCCTACTCACCACGAGTAGCCAGAAATGTGTGGGGTGTCACAAGCACACATGTAAAAATAATCTGATTAGTTTGGCAGAATCTATTACACACATGTGCGATCGAACCCACTGTAAGGTTACCCAAAAAAAAATCTCACTTGTTTCTCGAACTGTCAGACGCATTTTCTAAATTGTTACTTATTTTACGTTAGCACGTATCAGTGCTTATTATCGTTAGACATGGAGACGAGTTTATTCTGTTGCCTTATCCTGATGACATGCATTGGAGCTGATGATATGTTTACATTTATTGGTGTATGGCAGTTTAAGTTAGCCTTCCATTGTACGTGCCTAGCTGGAAATTCACAAGCAGTTGAATAATAGCAGGACTGGTACACCACGGTCATAGGTATAGATTCCAAACTAGGCCGAGGAAGATGTTTAAAAGACGGTTGGCACATCTGATTTCAGTTCATTTTTAATTGGTCGCTTATTTTACTCTTTTTTTTTTTTAACGAACGGCGTGACTACCCCCCCCCCCCAACACCCCCACCCCCACCCCACCCCCGTCCCTGCTCAGGCTGCGGATTGTTTAGTGGCAGGCCGCCTTGCGTTGGTTTCAACAGTGGTAACGAGAGCCGTCTGTTCAATAGGCAATAACATACTTAACACAACCCTTGCCAGTTAGGATCGTGGAAGTGTATCGATGGAAGCACTAGCACACGAAACCCGCCGTCTTTCTGTCTTCCGCTTGATGAATAAGCGTATGCTAATTTAAGCCTGTCCATTTCTTGATCTTGTCATTCCAGTTCTTCTTTGCCCTCCTCTTCTTCGACTACCCCCTCTTTTCCCACCCCACCCCCATTGTCTCTTGAAGCACAGTCTTTGCAATCAAATTGAGTCTCACTATGTGCACGAACTAAGCTAATTTGCGACGTTTCAACACTGACTGGTGTCCTGCAAATTTGTATATTTTGTCTCTGATATATTTGTTAGTTTTGTGTTCTAAATAACAAATTCGTAAAATGCGTACATAGCATTTACATTCGAAAGCTTGAAACCTCGTTTCCATTTCCACAGTGAGAGTCCAACTCTCGCATCCTTGTAAGAAAAAAGACAATACCATTGATTTGTATATATTGACCTTAACTGCGATGCTGAATTTTCCTCTTCCACATCATTTTCAGCTTAGATATCTCGGCTGTTGCCATTTCAAGTCGTATCAGTAGGTAACGACTACTAAACTACCAAACACCGCAATGTCTAATAAAATTTTAAAAAAAACAGTCAAAACAATGACAGGGTTGGTTCTGCAACAATCTACATCTGCATTCCTAGATAGATCCAATCTATGTATGTCTTTTAATATATTTATATATATATATTGCTGTCTGTTGTGTTTGTTTATATTATGCAAACACACACTAAACATAGGAGATTACGTAAAGGCATATATCAACACACATAGAAGTAAACGATGTTTTATTATACATGTTCTTTATCTTTTTCCTGACAGTGGCACGTGAGAACACGCAGGGAAACTTTCCTTTGCAAAATTGTGAAGAGACTACCATAGAAGTGCTATCGCTGTTGGATGACAGCGTCGACATATCCTGGGAGGAGCAGCACGATTTGGTGTTATCCTTTTGCTCTGAATCCCCCTTCTGTTACGGGGCCACAGTTGTTGATCAGCTCAGTGCTCACACGGAGACCAGCAGTTTCAGCGATTGGATTTATCAGAATGGGTTTAGAGATTATCCTCCATACATGGGCGGGTATGTCAAACATCTGGAGTTAACTAGAAATGTAAGCATAGTTCTTGAATTAAAAATAGGGTATGTTGAACGTTTATTTGAAGAAATAAGCGCCCAGATTACAGATGAGGCAGTTCGTGTTGGAATTATCTATCTTGATGGCACCACTTTTACATATGAAGAATTAAAAAACGTATCATCCAGTTTAAAACAACGAAAAGCAACAGATTTGAAGATACTTGTTGTTGTAGTTGGGTATAAACTTGAGAAGGAAATCGTACTCTTGTTTGACACTATAGTGCTTCCCGACAAGGAGCTAAAGAAATTTGGCCAGTATCTATTAATGGCAATGTGCAGCTGGTGTAGTAGCGGTTGGTTTTCTCTTCAACACACAACCAGCTTAGATATGCTGTCTTGTTATACAATCTACCACACTCCAGAGTTACATACATGGAGTAGTGAATCGAAATGGTGCAGCACCTCTTTTAACAGTTACTTAGCAACAATTGAAACTGTAGAAGAGATGCTATTTTTAAGAAAGCAAGCATATGAAGTGTTTGAAGAATTTAAAGTGTCGGATCTAAGCTTTCATATCGGACTTCGCAGAGATGTAGATAGCTATGAAAAACGATTTCAATGGGAGACCACTTCGGGAAGATATCGTCCACTTTTATTCAATCACTGGTTGCCAGGTAAACCTTCTAGACGATTCGTCAGCAATGACTGTGGGGTCTGGCGTTTTACTAATATCTGGACAGACAATAAAGATAGCCCAAATGTTGTCACGAATATCACCAAGGTCGCCTCAAATGAGGGATGGACAGATGTTTATTGTCAGAAGGAAATATTATCTTTAGCAATATGTGAGGTTACTCTTCCCCGACGGTTTAATGATAGCATACAAGATCAAAATGAAGATGGCATTTTGAAATTACAAAATGGGCGTACCGTGAGCTATCTAACAAAATTTGTCTCCGTCTCTGCAAACGTAGCAAACCCAACGTTTTTTCAATTTCTGAAAGACAATAAGCAAGACTTTCCCATTTTTGACTGTGGGGAAGATGTCGGTGATGGTAGATACATTTCATATAGCTTGGTATGTGACTTCGTTGATCACTGCAGAAACAAACGAGATGAACTGTCTTGTGTAAATCCACGGGAATTAAATCTAGAAAATGAAGTGTTTTGCACATCTGGACAACGTCTGCACAGTTCTAAATACATCTGTGACAATGTAAAAGACTGTAGAGACGGAAGCGACGAGGATGATTGTATGGCGGATAATTGTAAAAGTGTACCATGTCACGATGGTTCGTGTCTACCACTGCAATGGATCGATGATGGACACATTGACTGTTTCATTTACGAAAATAGCAATACCGACTGCTTCCTGAGTGAAGAAAACTCCCATGCAAATGTAGATTTTGATCTACACGATAACACAAGCTGTGCCTTAGTATGCAACCGTGACAATTGTATAGACGAGTCTATGCTCAATGATGGAGTCGAACACTGTACAGGTTCTGAAGGACCACTAGATGAGACTATAGGAGCACTGGAACCTGCAAGAACTTGTAGAAATGCATTTGGACATTTTATCTGGGCTCCAAAGTGCCATTATATCAAATACAGATACGGTGGTATCATAGGCTGCAGAGATATGTCACATCTGAGAGACTGCGAGAACTTCCTGTGTGGTCACGGATTTATGAAATGCTATGACTCGTACTGTATCCCTCATCATTATCTTCGCGATGGAAAAGCTGACTGTCCTACAGGAGAAGATGAACAACTGTTCTACATTGGTCCGCGTACTGGCAAGTATTTCGCTTGCTGGGACAGCAACATTTTCCTCCATCCTGTACTAGTTTGTAATGGCCGCACTGACTGTCCGCTTGGTGACGATGAACTTGATTGCCACGAATTGTGTCCTGGAGGTTTCCGTTGTGTGGCAGGGACGGTTATGCCATCAGGTTATAACAGCACAGTTTTCTCGAAACCAGCTGTGTCTGATTTAGACAGACGGACCAGATATCTTGACCTGTCAGGGGTAGAAATGGAAGCTGATTTCTTATCTACCTTTCTTGTGAATGACATCCCTTTTAATTTGAAAGTCCTTATTATGTCTAAATGCAGCATCAATAGCTTATATATTCCCAATCCTGTCGAAGACGGCAAGAAGCCACCACCATTGACGATACAGAAACTGGATATTAGCTACAATATTTTCGAAATATTTTCAGAACCTGATTACAATTATTATTATAAACACATACATTATCTTAATTTATCACACAACCATGAGTTGAGATTGTTAACAAATTTACGATTCAATTTGCTAGAAATACTTGATCTATCTTATACAAGTATTTTGTCCTTAAATGATTCAGTGTTTGCATCATTACCAAGATTGATGCATCTCAATTTAAGTCACACCCTGATTTCAGATTTTTCGGGACTATATTTCAATTCCAAACGTACACTACAGACACTAGACTTACGAGGAATTCCTGCTGAAGATATTCACGACTATTCATTCCATGGCCTCGCTATAAGTCATACATTGTATACTGATCATTTTGAGATTTGCTGTCCTAACATTCAGAGCTTAATCATTGCATCGCACGCATGCAAAGCATCTGCCGATGCAGGCGCGATTTCGTCGTGTTTTAATCTGCTAGGAATTTCAGTTCAGCGATATCTTCTCTGGATCGTTGCATCACTTGCCGTTCTGGGAAATGTGACGGTAATTGTGTATCGTGTAATCTGGGATAGGTCAGTTCTCAAGAGTGGATTCGGTCTGTTTGTGACAAACTTGGGAATATCTGACTTTATTATGGGAGTATATCTGTTCATTATTGCCGGGGCTGATTATTTCTTTCGTGACAATTACGTTCTACATGACAAGAGCTGGAGGACCAGTGTTGTGTGCAAGATTGCTGGGTTCATGGCTTGTCTTTCCTGTGAAGCATCAACGTTCTTTGTTTTTCTCATCACTCTAGACAGGTTTCTGGTGATGAAGTTTCCCTTTGGTCAAAAGAAATGCTCTAAATTAATTAAAATCAGCGCTGTTGTGTTGTCTTGGGTGGCAAGTTTCCTTCTAGCTCTGGTTCCCATTGTGTTTGGTTTTGACATATATTCTTCTAACGCAATGTGTCTTGGTCTACCCTTGACAAACACACAAGCTAAAGGTTGGATTTACTCTGTTGTTGTTTTTATTATTTTTAACATTATTATGTTTCTCTTCATTGCATGCGGTCAGTACGCTATCTTCCGTGCCATGTCAGGTAATAGAATATCTAAATCAGCAGTCAACATGCCTCGTTCACGGCGTGTCGAAGATATAACAGTAGCCAAACAATTGTCCCTTGTCGTTCTTTCTAATTTTCTTTTCTGGTTTCCAGTTGGAGTTTTGGGACTTATGTCATTAGGTGGTCATGGGGTCAGCAGCGAGGTTTATGGCTGGACAACAGTGCTCCTACTTCCCATAAACTCCGCTGCAAATCCGATTTTATATACTATTCCGGCCCTAATGGCTAAATGGGAAAGGTTCAAAACTGGAGATCATAGGACGCTTTCATAAAATATATAATATAACATACTTGATAATAGCTCTTGCTTTTGGCAACATGATATAAATATCTTATTTAATGTTTATTCAGGAACGAAACATTAAAAATAATTGCATTTCATAAATGTTTATGGTTTTGTAATACTATATAAAGGCAAATAAGTAAAATGGCATGTCATTCAGGTAATCCCTAACTTGAAAGTTAATCAGACTTGTTGTTCTTACCAGTCATTCACCACTCCCTCCAACCCCACTCAAACTCCACTCTCCCTCCCCGCCCCCATTTTTTTAACGATATTTACTTCTTTGAGCTGAGACTGCGGGGGTTGTTATCATCACTATTCTCTAGGTCTGGAACAATGAGGAGATTGCTTGTAGCCTGTAGTAATTTAGAGGTTTGTGACAATTGTGGCTATTATAATAGTCTACATTATTCTACAGGCTTATGAAAATCTATAGTCATCTAAAGTTGTGTGCTGTAAGACTGCAGGTGTCGATTTACTAACAAGAGGATAGGAGGCGTCACAGAGGTTAATATGGAGCCATTCAATAGTAATGGCAACTCGAGTCGAGTGATCTAGTAACTTAAGAAAATTAAAGTGCCTCGCACATGAGCCACACAAGCTTATCAAAGAAGCCCACCCAAAAACAGCTATAACCATCACACATTAAATAACAAGGGCGTTCCATTACATCAGAAGGCCATCGACTGTTCTCTTCACGGCATCTCTAACACGATGGTCATACAGTGCTGAAAGTGTAAAAGCCAAGTATCAAATAAGCTCTGTGAAACCTTTCATAGTTAAATGTACCTGCAAAAACAAACAATCAGATGTTAATAGAGCTTTGTCTCGCGTGACATCCTTAATTTGTTTGATACTGTCTGTTTTATGCTCCAAATTATTAGTTCCAGTTGATATCTGCAACAAGATTATTTATTTAGTCAAGAAATACAAAGCTTCATGTCGAAGCTTAAAAAGCTTGATTTCAGAGCTAACACATCTTTAGAACGAATGGAGAAGTGCATGGAGCGAAGCCAAGCATGTTGCTTCTAATCTGTGCCTAGATAGTGTAACTCTCTGGAACACAGTGTTAAACAAAACGCAAAATAAAAAGGTTCCATGACAAAGATGCTACTGAAGAAGCAGACACAAGATTAAATGAATGAATCATCGAAGAAAGGATATTTCACAAAGATTATCTTCTATATAATATGGGATGCTGTTATTGGTGAACTGACTGTTCGTTTCAATTCTGAAGTGAATATCTTTGAGAAGTTCGGTTTCCTCTATAAGTACCTGTCAATTCATCAAGATGAACTGAAAGAAAATCAAAATTACTAGCACATCAAAATGTAGCTGCCATATTTTTATGAAGCAAATGTTGGAGAAGGTCAGCTTTGTCCATTCGAGCTACCAAATTGTTTGAAAAGACACAAGCTGGAAGGATTCTTTCCAAATATATCCCTCCATGTTCTTTTAACAATTCCTACCACTGTCACTTCTCCAGGGCGCTTATTCAGAAAATAAAGCTGATACAATTATCTCAGATTGACTATGTCACAGGAGCAAATGATAGATGTTGAAAGACTTAGCACTGAGTCTGATCTGGCAAAGACGACTGATCGTAGTGATGTGTTTCGCAACTGTGCCAGGAAAAATAAAATTCTAAGAAAGCATCTTAATTTAACAGATATCAATGTATCTGTATTTCATCGATGACAAGCGTTTTGAGCTTGTAATTAATCTAGTAAAAAATTCCTTGATGGTGCATATTGTGTCATTATTGTTTGCACTATTATGTTCATTATTGTTTTTATTATCTTTTACAGAAGTACACGTCCTCTTTTTAATATATTTGTAATATTTGGTAATGTAATCTACAAATGTACAATTATGACATTACCTATACATGTGTCAGTGAGGGGATTCTTATAAGTTTTGTTCCATCAACTATTAATGACGCCGTGCCTGACAGAACGGTGAACATCTTTAGAAGTAACTTTTTAAGGCTGGGTCGACCTGGGAGCCAAGGTCATTTGTTTAAAAAATCCGGCTGAGTCAGGATCTAAATCCACGACCTTCCGATCAGTAGGTGAGCGTCTAGCCGCTACACCACAGCCGGCCAGACGTCATAAATAGTATTTGTGCTTGTTTTATTGGCACACAGAAAATTGCCACAATTCGCACCAAAACAGCTAATTGCATATCTTTGAGATAAGGATTATGCGGATCTGATGGCAGACATATTTGTAACTTGTAACAAGTAGCAACAGTTGTTAGCGAAAATAGTTCGTATTCCCACAGACATTTAACGCGAGAAGTAAAAAGTTAGCTGAATATCCTTTACAGGATGTTCCAGAACCAACCCCAGCATTTTTTTTTTCTGTTGTGGTTTTTGTTGGCAAAATTTTCGTTCAGTAGTTTGTCATTGCCCTGAAGGGTCAGCTCTCGGTACCACTGTCGAAAACATTGCAAGACATACTGCACGCAACTGGGATCCAACCCGGGCACCCCGGCATTACGAAGCTCGTTCGCAACGCTTAGATGTTGAGTTGAGTGTTTGGTGATCAGTGGATTTCATCTATTATTTTTCTTTCTTTCTGTTTGCCCACGGCATTTTGTTGACCGCGCTAAAATGGCGAGTGGCCAATTACGTTCTGGTACAATGCCAGTTCACGTGATCGACCTTTTGTGCCAACAATGAGCTGACATTCTGGTATAGGACTGTTAGTGTTGGCACCTCTTGCAACTGCCTTATTCATTTTCATGGTGTGAGTGCAAGCTTCAGGATTTTGCAAGGACTGACACGTTTTAACTAGTTTTTAGTGTAGGACATTTTGTGTGATTTCCACTGGCATAGGAACAGCTCAGTTATGGGGCCACACTCTGTCCTTATGTTGAATCCTCGATTAACGACTTACCATATTCTTTACTATGTAAATTATGATACGTAATAAAAATTACAGAGAACCAAAATAACGCACTGTTTAGACGCTTCTCCTATAGAAAAAAAAAAGGGGTGAGTTCCAGTCTGCATAGGTGAAGATCGTTGTAAAATTAACATAGTTCCCAGGTTTAGCCAGCCTACAATTAGTGCAAAGAAATATTATGGGACATAAATGGGGTCATGGTGTTGTTGACCACATCACTCATCGAATGTTGAGAAATCTCTAGAAATGTGGATCTTGTAACATATATCCTTTAACTTTTATGCAAAGTGTGAAGAAAGAAAAGTCATCAGAGTGTAGCCATATACCTTCAGGTAAAACAAATCAGATTCCTTTCAATGGTCTTTTTAACCTTGGTGATCGTAATATAATCAAAAGTCACTAACTGTAAATCAATTGTTGCTTGCAGTGTAATTCAATCAACGAGATCTGCTGTCAGCTCAAAAGACCCGCCACGTCAAGCAGCCGCAGATTCTTCGCAATTTCAATTTTCTTGACACGTTTTATAGGCCAAAGAAAGCATTTGACTTGTTCATTATGATCCATGATAAATAGATATGGCTCTCTTGGTATTTTTTAAAGTAAATATTTTTTATGCAAATGTTATTAAAGAAAGACGATGGAGATGGCGTGGACATGTTTGCAGAATGCCTTGTGACACTCTGGCAAAGACAGCTCTCTGATGGACAGCAGATGGGAAAAGGAGAAGTGGACGACCTAGGGAAACCCTGAGAAGGACAATAGAACGGGAAATGAAGGAATGTCAACTGACATGGGATACCATGGGCAGAAAAACAACAGAACGGCAGCAACGGATATCAGTTGTGAATGCCTTATTTGTCAACAGCGACATGAAGAGAATATAAATATAGATATATTTTGTAAGCAGATCTCATAATTTATCAGTTTATGCATGACAACCACCTCCCCTCCCCGAATATTTAACAACGATCTCTTTGATCAGGCATCTATAATATGCGTAATTTTAAGGTATCTAATTACATTCTCTATAATGATGTAACGTAACCTAACACTGTTACATGTTTGATGTCTTAATTATACGACTGATTGTCATATTACTTTAAAGTTACTTGATATTTCTTGTAATTATGAATGTTAACATTATTTTTTTTTAAACTTAAAAAAATTGTACAGTATATAACATTTTTACACATTCTGGATTTGTATGCTTTAGGCTCCGACAGTAAGGATTCTTGAAAACAACACAGAGGCTGTTTAAGACATGGAATAACAGAGCTGCTGGGGATCCGTTTTTGGGTAGAAAAATGATAAGCCTGCGAGTGGTCGATGCACCTGGTGAAGATTGCGATACTGTAAGAAAACTTTTGTGGTTACAAATTGTGCTCAATGGGAAGATTGCATAAGGAGGACAATGGCAAAATAAAAATAAAAAAATTAAAAAAGGGGCGAGGAAAGGGGGGGGGGGGACGGTGGACAACATTGATGGGAGTGGAAACTGATTATATCAAATCATCAATAAGGAAAACTGTAGGCGGGTGCCTCACCCCCCCCCCCCCCCCCCCCCCTCTTTTCCACCATCACTAACTACGCCTTTTTCGCCAACTAGGCATGCACTGGGTGGGGTTTCGTTCTGACACCTTTAAGCCCCCCCCCCCCCCCCCCCCCCCCCACGAATTTTTTTTGACATGGGAATCTCTTAACCATGCTTCTTCGCTATAATAACACATATTCTAGACAATTGATATTTTTTATTCCCCTTAACATTTGATTTTTTTTTTTTTTTTTTCATCATTTATAACTTTTAAAAAAATGGGACTGTCGTGGGAAAAAGTATTGTTTGTTTGCACAGATGGTTCTAGTTCTGTGTTTCCTAAACTGGTTAAAGAAAACATCGACACTTTATTGAAAGTCATTGTGTAATTGGCAGGCAGGACTTGACAGCCAAATCTCTCGCGGCAAGATTTTGACGATGCACTTAAAATGGTTTTAAAAGTGGTGAATTTTGGTATATCAAGCCACATCCGGCTTTAACTTATAAATAAGTTAGCTTAAATTTATAGCCTAAAGATGGCCGTGATCA